ACTGATAGAAGTGAACATTCTTATCATTGCTTACATACTTTAAGACCATGGTCTACTTTAGTCATTTTGTATTAATAAACAATATGTTTATCTATATGTATCTACAAATTCATTATAAAAGAAACTATCAAAGAATGCTTTGATATTTAATCTGATAAAAGGAAAACATATTTCTTGAGTTTAACGTTAATTTTGCAGTATCACTTATTATATGATGTACATAAATCAAATGAAAATTTAAATTTTCAAAAAATATATGTGCTGAATGCAACAATGTACCACTCTAAAATTGACCTTCTCACCTAATTTCATTCAATAACCCAATACTAGTAACAGTTTTTCACACCTTGTGAAATCAAGTGTCATGCTAAAGAGCATTCAAGCAGATCATAACAACAAATTTAAGATCTAGATAGGTGTTGACTTCAATATCAGTGGTCTCAATAGTCACATTAAAATTAAAACAAAAAATTGGACTGACTAATAATGTTGGTCTTAAAAGTGAATAAGCAGGGGGTTAAATCTGGATCATGAAACCATTTACTTAAAGAATCTTTTTAAAAATGGTCTTAATAGCAGGGTGGTCTTAATTCTGGGGTGGTTTAATGTACATTCAATGTAATCAATTATCAATCAATTACTCTCTTAAAAGTAATTGTAATTCAATTGATTACAGAGGCAAATGTGAGTAATCAATCTTAATCAATTACAATAAAATCTGAAAGTAATTGTAATTTAATCAATTACTGATCAATGTAATCATCCCCAGGTCTGGCGGCCCAGATGTGAATGGTCACAAGCGACTAGTTTTGTTTATCAAATTGTGTGACACTACTTTCTATTTATTCCTTACATTTTTATTAAGTTTCTACTAAAATATATACATAATTTACATATAACAATAATATATGAATGTTACTACATCTTAACATCAAAACATATACACGACAATACGTATTGCAATATATTGCAATACGCTTCAGCAAAATGGCAATATATTGCAATACGGTTTTTGCTGTATTGTTACACCCCTACCCCGGGGCAGGGCCAATTTTGACCCAGGGCTTTTATTTGAACAAACATATTAGACAACCATTAGAACATGTTTCATGCTAAATATCTTAGCTCTAGCTGTTTGAGTTCTTTTAAAGAAGATTTTTTAAGTTTTTACTATATGCATATAGGGAAAATCAATGACCCCCTGGGGCCGGGCCAATTTTGACCCCAGAGCTTTTATTTGAACAAACTTGGTAGACACTCATTTGAAGATGTTTCATGCCAAATATGTAAGCTCTATCTCTTTGGGTTCTTTAAAAGAAGATATTTAAAAAAATTTCTTTCGGTTGCCATGGCAACCAGAGTTCTGCATGGAATTGAATTCTTTGAACAATTTTTAAAGGTGACCACCAAAGGAACATTCCTGTGAAGTTTGGATGAAATTGGCTTAGTGGTTTATGAGGAGATGTCATTTGAAGCAAAAGTTTACGGACGGACGCCGGACGAAAAGCGATCACAAAAGCTCACCCTGTCACTTTGTGACAGGTGAGCTAAAAAAAAACACAGAAAATTTTTCATGCAGCATGGAATATTTTCCATGGAAAAGCATGAACTTTATTCCATGCTTTTCCATGTACATAGAGTATTGGAACAAAAGTATGGATTTTTTTCTAGGGTATTCCATGTGTCTGCCAACCATAGAGGCTGGACTTTTCATCATGGTAAAATAGTAAATAGTCCATCCTTGATGGTATATCGGTAACATGAAAAAAAATCCAGCCTAATTCCAGCATCCCTGAATGTTCTTAAAATGTAAAATTTTGGGATGGAATTCTAATAATATTTCAGTAGTAAAACTTGTAAATGATACACTTAACAGGCTGGTTAAAATGCTTGATAGGGCTTTTGACATAAAAACTCATATTTCTAGAAAAATAATAAAGATATCTCTTTTAAACTTTGTTTATTGAGCGTAATGTATGACAAGAACGGAAAGAAAAATATTTGGTTATTGTCACTTATGTTAGAATCATTTCCCATTTTTCATATTTCTATAGCACATAAATCCTTAAAAGATTTGTTCCAGATGCAAAGTATAAAAAAACAAGGTTAAATAACTTTGTTATGCTCTAATTCATTGCCCCAACACCTGTCAGCATACATTTCATTCAGTTTTCAGAGAAAACTGAAAAGTATGTTCAGACAGAGTGTTAAAGAATTGTCAAAATATATAAATGCCAGAAACAGAATAATTTTTTAAATTAAAATATATAGAATAAAGGTACTGGCTCAATAATCTTGATCAAAATCAGATGTTTGAAACATTTCTGTTAAGAATTTTACATTACAACATAATTTTCATGAACTTCAAACATTTTGTTTTCTGTAAAATGAGAAAAAGGGAAATAATTCTAAGAAAAAAAAGGCAACCAAAATCTTTTAATTGTGATTTGTATCATATATAATGCTTATTGCTTAATAAACAAAACAAGATAGAAAGTAACATATTAATTATTTTTCTAGAAATATGATTTTTATGTGATAAGTTCAATCGGGCACAATCCATGCCTCTATAGTCATGAACTTCACTAAGTTTAAAGAAATTTAACATCCTGAAAATAATTACAGTTAACTAAAATTATTGTTGGAGAGATGATATGACGAGGCTTCTAGTTTTGAATCGTGAGCTCTTGTTGATGTCGAATCACTAAAGAAAATTTCAAAATTGCCAATTATTATTAACAACATTAAATGTATGAATCATAATCCCTCTTAATAAACGAATAAATTTTTTTTATATACATGTATTATTAACAATTCATTTAGTTAAATATGCTATTTTAAGATTTGATAACAAAAATTATTTATATACATGTAAATTTATAGCCAATAATTTATCACAATTCATATAAACTATCCCATAAATAATTATTTTCACAGGAAAATTTCAATGTATATATGACAAAAAAACCTTCTTTATATCAAAAATATAATGTGTTATAAGTCATAACTTTATTTATTTTATATTATGTATAACATTTCAACTCATAATTGTAATTATTTTATATCTTTATCATATTTAACAAGAGCTGTCACTAAGTGACAAATGCCCCCGAAAAGGTTTCTTAAGTATGCAGGTATTATGAAAAAAAAATCAGAATGAAAGTAACTAATTTACTGCTTAATATTGTTCTTGTGAAATGAAGTGCTATTTATAGCAAACTTAACACGTTGGGACAAGGGTCTTGGATGAGTCACATAATCTTGATGTGGTAGACGTTTATGCCAAGTTATTTAAAAATCTTTCAATGCATGACAATGTTACAGTTTCGAAACTAATGTGTACCTTTAAACTCTTCTTATGAGCATAAGTACCTTCAAACTATTAGAGTGACCATGACCTTGGAGATAGGAACATTGGCTCTTACACACAACACATCAACTTGATGTCATAGACATTTGAGCAAAGTTATTTTTAAACTCTTCAATGCATGACAAAGTTATAGTCCACAAACAAATGTGTGTACCTATAATCTCTAATTGTGATAGCCTGAACCTTCAGAATGTAAGTGTCACCTTGACCTTTGAAAGGAACATGGTTCTTGAACGCAACACAACATTGTCATGTGATAGACATTTCTGCATAGTTATTTCAAAATCCCTAAATGCAGGACAAAGTTACAGTCACTGTCTGGACATGATTGTTGTGTAAGTGGGGATGGACAGACGGACATGAGCCTTAGCCACAACACATCGTCCTGATGTGGTAGACATTTGTGCCAAGTTATTTTAAAATCCTTCCATACACAACAAAGTTACAATCCGGCAATGAATATGTATCTTCAAACTCTTCTTGAGAGAATGAGTACCTTCAAACTACATGTATAAGTGTGACCTTGACCTTGAAGGTAGGGACAGGGGCCTTAAATGTGACATGTCGTCTAAATGGAATCCGGGTCAGCTCGGCCCTAAAACGTACTCGGCCACCGAGTCAGCTCGGCCCTATACCAACTCGGCACGGGTCAACTCGGCCCACTTTTCAATTATTAATATTTAGGTTTGTGTTATCATTGTTTATTGTAATTAATGTAATCATTTATAATACACGGATTGACAGTTTCCACAGGCTTTTCTTATCAGTAGAATTGCAAGTAAAGATAACCGATTGCGTATCTCACTGTATTTCTGACTCGTGGTAGGTTTAACCGTAATTTTTTATACTTTCAGTGTCAATGTGTTGAAATATACACTGAGACAGAGAGGAAAAAAAATACGGAAATAAGATCTGTATTTAGCCTTTATTGAAATAAAAGATAATTGAAAAGAGGGTCGTTCAAATAGAAGTTACTTTGATGAAAATAAGTCTATATGAAAATATCTATAATATTAACATGAATTTTCGCAAGTATATTTATACATATTAAACTTCTGTTCTTTATTACTTTAACTAGATAATGCACAGACAATGTATTTCTATTTGATAGAAAAAAAACGTATGACACGTGGACATTCATTTCGGCAGCAATCAATGCTCTTATACGGTGATTGGACGTTATATATATTTTTGTAAAGTGGGCCGAGTTGACCCGTGCCGAGTTGACCCGTGCCGAGTTGGTATAGGGCCGAGTTGACTCTTTTCCGTCTAAATGTGGTTGACATTTATGCATAGTTATTTTTAAAGTTCTTCAATGCATGACAAAGTTACAGTCCAGACACCAATGGCAATGTGTGTATCTATAACCTCTTAGGTTTAAATAAATTTATTTACTTAATTTTAGAAGAAACATGCATTTAATATTGATAAAAAAGTGACTGACAACCACTGAACAAAGAAAATTCTAAATCAAGCATAATTTTTCGGGGTCGTGCGGGTTTGGTGGTTGTCCGGTTTTGGTGGTCCCCAACCAGTATGTGGACGGACAAAAAAATCATTTACAGTCAAAAACATTTTGACCACCAACTCAAAAAAAACATGAGGTAAATAAACACATTAAATCTAGTACCTAAGAATAATGATTCACAGTCGCGTACACTTTATTTTTGGTTGTTGAATGATATTATCAAGGTTACTCAAATGCTTGAATGTGTATCATTATTGATAATAGCCGAGATGTTCCGATTGTCGACATCCTATAAAGGAACGAAAAGACACATGCAATAACCCTTGCATCACTTAGTCATACCAAACACAAAAGAAGAAAAAAATTTTTTTTAGTCACATCCAGAGAATTAATGGATTCAAATTTAATAGGTCGCCATTATTTGCTGTACTGAAACATGGCTAAAACCTGAAATATCAACTGCTGAAATTTTTCCTGACTTCTTAAACTTCCAGGTATATAGGGATGATAGACTAGAGGGCAAAGGTGGGGGAACCCTCGTTGCTATATCGAAATCCATCCTAAGCCAGGAACAACCTGATCTGAAATCAAAATATAATTCAGTTTGGGCCAAAATGTCCCTTAAAGGTTTTAAGGACATCTATATCTCTTCCTTCTATAAACCTAACGAGAAGGATGAGATACCCCTCAATGAACTTTGGTCTTCCATAAAAAAGATCCCCAAAAATAGTATTGTCTGGGTGCTTGGGGACTTCAATATGCCAAGCATCGACTGGTCAACAGAATCCCTGACAGAAGGTTGTAAGTTCCCAAACATATACACTTCTTTCCTTGAAAATCTCATTAACTTGAACCTACAGCAAATGGTCAACATCCCTACCAGAGGTAACAACGTCCTTGACCTGTTCCTCACAAACATGCCTTCCCACGTACATAGTACAAAAACCTTACCTCCTTAGGCTCCTCAGATCATGACATAGTCTTTCATGAAATCAAAATTAACAGAGGGCGTCCACTTCAATCAAAGAGGGAAATCCAATGTTATAATAAGGCAAACTGGAATTGTTTAAAAAATGACGTAAGTAAATATGCCAAGGTCTACAGTGAAACACACCACACTGATCCAAACAAAGCCTGGATTTCCTTCAAGGACGAACTAAACCACCTTTGTTCTATTCACATACCAACTAAAGTCACTAAAACACGTCAAGATCTACCATGGTTAAACAAGTCCATTATTCGAAAAATTAGGAAACGTGATAGAACTTATTCAAACATTAAAAGGTCAAAGTCCCCATCAAATGATTTGGTCAAAAAGCTCAAAGTACTTAAAAGTGAAATCCAAAGAGAAACTAGGAAAGCATACTGGCAATACCTAGACTCTGTCATTTTTAGCCAAGACTCCCAAAATGTGAAAAATAAAAAATTCTACCAATATGTTAAAAGTAATAAAACTGAAAGCTGTGGTGTGGCACCCCTCAAATCAGAAGGTCAAACATTTACTGATCCAGTCGCTAAAGCAGATATCCTTAACTCCCAGTTTGAGTCTGTCTTCTCTCGGCCCCAGCCCCTTAGCTTATCCCAGGCTTGCAAACAGAAGCTTATTCCAAAACACCACCCATCTATGCCAGAAGTATCTATATCGGAAGATGGTGTGAAGAAACTTTTAAAAGACCTAAACCCAAATAAAGCTTCTGGTCCTGACCAAATATCCCCTAGGTTATTAAAAGAGCTCCATCAAGAGGTTACTCCCATACTGACCCACATCTTCCAGATCTCACTTAAAACAGGTATTGTCCCAGAAGACTGGAAGCATGCAATAATTGCCCCAGTTTACAAAAAAGGCCCAAAATGCAAAACCAGCAATTATAGACCAATCTCCCTCACATGCATAGCGTCCAAATTGATGGAGCACATCTTAGTGTCCAATATTATGTCCTTTTATGATAAACACAACATCCTTAGCCCCTATCAACATGGCTTCAGGTCAAAACGGAGTTGTGAATCCCAGCTAGTAAGCTTCTCCCAGGAAATTCATGACAATCTTGAAAGTGGCCAACAAACTGATGTCATAGTCATGGATTTCAGTAAGGCATTTGATAAGGTGGACCATCACAAACTTGTGAGTAAACTAGAAAGATTGGGTATAAGTTATGAGGTTACAAATTGGGTCCATTCCTTCCTTAAGTCACGCTCCCAGCAAGTTGTAGTTGAAGGTCAAAAATCAGGAATTCTACCAGTTCTCTCAGGTGTCCCCCAAGGCTCGGTATTAGGTCCCTGTCTTTTCCTTTCTTACATCAATGACCTCCCAGATAGTGTCAAAGGTAAGGTTAGACTCTTTGCAGATGATACTGTTGTCTACCTAACCATCAGATCTAAACAAAATATGAAAAACAAGATCAACAAGGAAAGGCGGCGTTCAATGAACGCAACCCCCCATGACCCAGCAACAAGAACCAATGGCAAGGAGCCCAGGCGGACCCCAAACATAAAAAGGACAGGGCAACGACACGTTAATCATTAAATGATAAATAATTTGTAACTGATTTGGAATTCAAGGAAAATAATAATAGGCCCACAAAGGGGAAGGGGACAGGAGACGGCGGGAAGGGGGGGGGTTTAATCAAAGAAATAAAAACTAGAGACAATGGGGAAGATACTTACCGTAGACGAGAAAACAACAAGGGACACAAGCAAAAGTGTCACCAAAACAGTATGAAACAACATAGACATACATCTGAGGAACACAGTGGGGCGCCGCCTTGGAACGGTCAGCAGCATAATAATGACTGCTGGGGAGTTTAAACCGGTTAATGGTGCACCAAACCTCGCTCTTAGCCCCACCATGTTCCTATAAACGAGACAGTGTAAATAAAATGAATCCCCGCCAAGTGAAATTCTAACAGTTGTCATGGTTACAAAAGGTAAAATAAGTAAAACACTAAAATGATCATGTAGAAACATATAAAAGTAAACCCAATGACCATAACAAAAGTACTCAATGTCCTAAAGGAAGACAGAGCAACAAGAAAATCACCTACAAGGGCCCGACGAAGCAAGGCAGAAGACAAACATTAAGACAATTCAGTCCCAAAGGGCTTTACGAACTATCCATCATAGAGTCTCCCACTTGGTCCGTCAGATGCAATCAAAAGAGGAAAGCGTAGTGTCCAACTGTAAAAGGGTTGAACACTAAACATGCAGTATGTCTTAAAATAGTAGGGTCATAACCTCTTTTAATAAAACGTTTAATGATTTTAGCAAAAACAGCAGAAAAATTACCATGACCCAAAACCTTACGAAGTTTGTAAACCACATCGCCATAAAAACCAGGCTGGCTAATCCCTTGTCGCAGATGCCCAAACCCTCCAAGATGACCTTCATGCTTTAGAAAAATGGGAAAAAGACTGGTCCATGGAATTCAACCCTGACAAATGTGAAGTTCTTAGGATAACAAGAAAAAGAAACCCTGTAATATTTCCTTATACCCTCCATAACATCCAACTTAACTCAACTCAAGAAGCGAAATACTTAGGAGTCACTATTAGTCAAGACCTTTCATGGACCAAACATATAAACAACATCACATCTAAAGCAAATAACTCCCTCAGATTCATTAGAAGAAATGTTAAAACTCCAAAAAAAAAAGATAAAAGAAACTGCATATAAGACCTATGTTAGACCTCAGGTTGAATATTGCTCCATAGTTTGGCATCCTTGGCAGAAATACCTAATTTATAAGATAGAGCAAGTACAAAGATCAGCTGCTAGATACATTTTTAATGATTATGACTATACAAGTAGTGTCTCAAAAATGATAAATGATCTTAATTGGCAAACCCTTGAACAGCGTCGAAACATCAGTGCTGTAACCTACTTGTATAAAATCCAAAACAACATTGTTTTTGTTGACCACCAACACCTTACTCAAACAAGAAATCTGAACTACCTGATACCCTACTCGAGGACACAATATCATCAAAATTCTTTCTTTCCTAGGAGCATACGTCTTTGGAATAGCCTCCCTCTAACTGTTCAGTCTAGCCCCAGTTTAAACATCTTTACTGAGAGGTTTGACCCATTCTATAAATTCTAAATTGCACACTATGTCTTTAAATTAATAGTCTTGTAGAACTCTTATTCTTTTAACTTTTTAATTTGCATATAAACAAATTCTTTTATTAACAGTTCCCTGACAACGCGCCTGCTAGTCATAATCAGAATTGATTGTTAAGCAGTATGATGTAGATGTAGATGTAGATTTGGCAATTAAATACTATTTAAGGACATGATAAGTGACATGTCCGGAGTTCGTACTCTCACTCTGGCTGAAAGGGCGGATGAATATAAATTTAACAAAGAACCCACATACATGTAATAAAAACTGTGTTATATTTTCTGCAAATGCACAGAGTGGTCCACTGGATATGTCCTACAACACACGTGCAGTGATTTTACATGCATATTTTTAGATATGCCACTGTATCACAGAGCTATATTATATTCTGTAAGTTAATTAAAGCATTCGCCAATTGATTAATTTTGTAAATTATTATATTGTACACATAGTGTATGCTATGATTCTAACCAGAAGACTCTATGCTAAATGAACATTTTCAATTATAGTTTTTTTTTTCGAAATCAGCATATTTTTGCGTAATTCAACTCATTGTTTGCAAGAACTGGTGAAAAAAACATCTTAGTTCAAACTTGTTGTCTCACGAACCATATACTGTATTGTTTGTGAATAAACAATCTTAAACAGGACAAAAGATATCTAAATATAACAGAATATATATATATTTCACATTTTATAGTATATTAGAAATCGACTTGTTTTGTCACAAACGCTTTGATAAACCCGTCTCTATGTAATTAATAAGAGAACGGAATCTCTAAAGAACGCATGCCCAATGGCAGAAGTGTTAAGTATAAGGAGTTCTTGTTATCCTATGATAATAAATTCTTTGCTTTTACAATAAAATGTATTGTTTCTTAGCACGGCTTTAATCAAGCCATGCACTTATGTAAAAACCTATTGAACTTTTATTTTCCAGGTTTCTGCTCCAGCACAGCGAAACTGAGAAATATTTGCTATGTCACTTTAAAATTAATGCCTTGTGAATATTAAAGAATGGTTTTATCAACCGACATCGTCCGCTTACTTTCAAAGGCCTTTTATTGCAATGTGCGTTTATGAAATACCAAATATGCTGTCCTAGCATTACATCTTTATTCATATGTTCGGTTTCCTAACATAGTTATAGAGCAAAAGCATTTGTGTCTTTTGGAATCAAAAGAACTACTAGATGTTACTTG